GCAAGCCCCCCAATTAAATGCTTTTTTAAAAATGAGTATTTCCAAGAAAATTTTGGTTGTGTATGTGTGCGAGTGTGTATGAGTGTGTTTCAAAATTGAGTTGAAAAGTTTTTTGATTAAAAATAAGGCACTTATTTTAGCTGGGTATGGTGGCATGTGTCGTTCCAGCTACTCTGGAAGGCAAGGCAGAAGGATTCATTGAACTTGGGATTTTGAGGCTAGCCTGACCAGTACAGCAAACCCTTGCCTTCCAGAAAGAGTAAAGAGTGATTCTGCAAATGGTTGTTTGATGATTAAGTGTGGAAAGCATCTTCTGTGTGAGGAAGGGACAATAAATAGACTGTAGTTTGAGCTTTACTGTTTAGGGTTTTGTTGTTGTTGTTGTTTTGTTTTCTTTTGTTTATTTTTGAGACAGGGTCTTGCTATGTAGCCCTAGCTGTCCTGGAACTCCTGATGTAGACCAGGATTGTCTTGAACTGTCAGAGACTACCTGCTGTCCAAATTCTGATATTAAAGGCCTGCACCACTATGCCCAGCAACTTTAACAAAATTTTAATGCTATCTTGTCTCTTTAAGAATACCTGTTTTATGCTTCAGTTGAAATGTTTCTCTGAGTAGCTTATTTGATGTTACAGTAAATTGTTCTTGAATTTCATTTTCAAATTGTTCCTTGCTTCTATACAGAAGTTTGGTTGATGTTTGATGGGGGATGTCCTTCTGTGTATATGATTGTCTTATTGGTTGATAAATAAAGTACTGTTGGCCAATAGGATAACAAGATAGGGGGGACTAGGAGTCAAGGAGGATTCTGGGAAAGGTAGGAGAAAGCGCAGAGTCACCATTTGAGCCCGGGAAGACAGGACACTTCCGCTGGCATCCGATAAGTCTTATAAGATATATAGATTTATGATAATTAAGACTGAGCTAGCAGATGAGAATCCTAGTCATTGGCCAAGCAGCATTTGTACCTAATATAAGTCTCTGTGTGTTACTTGGGACATTAACGTGGCGGTGGGCAGGGCTCAGGTGGCCTGATGGAAAGCACCCATGTGGCAGCAGGGCTTGGTTGACTTGGAGTAAAGACTTATTGTTACAGATGTTTGTACATTGAATCTTGCTGAACTGGCATATTCAAGCATATCTCTAAGTAGACTAGATTTGCTTTTTCCTGTCTCAAAAGAATACCCTTTATTTCCTTTTCTCATTCACTGTCCTGCTTAAAACCTCCAGTGAACTGTTCAGTAGAAATGGTGAGAGCAGGAACCCTATGTTAGGGGCAAAAGCCCTCCATCTCACACTGGTGGGTGTGTTTTAACTATGGGAAAGCCCTTTCTAGTCTTAGTTTTGGTTTTGCTTGTTTTTTTTTTTTCTTTTTTATCATGAAGGAACTTTAGATTTTTGCCAAGTACTTTTTGTATGTTTGGTGAGTTGATTCTTTAGAACTCTTGTTTGAAGAAAATTCCTATTCAGCCAGCTTGCAAAACACAACAACAAATAATAAAGATGTGTGCCACCACAGAGGTGACAGATCTCTGTGAGTTCAAGGCCAGCCAAGTCTATAGAATGTTCCAGGACAGCCAAAATTATCCAGAGAAACCCTGTCTTGGAAACACATAATAACAGCAACAACCACCAGGACATTGATTACCTTACTTACCTGGAAATCCAAGCATGTCTTCCCTTCAGACATGACATGCTCTGATTGAACAGCATCCAAATTTTCCCTCTTCTCTCTCTGCCCCTCAAATCTTTTACAACCCCCCCCCCCGTATGTGGCAGTCATGCTTAGGTATCTTGTAATGGCAAAATGGCTGCCATGAATCCTTAGGGTCAAGGAAAAAGGAAAAAGGGACAGTCTCCAGTAATTTCTGTCTTTCTCTGATCATAGAGGAAGATCCCAAGATGCTCACTGGGCCAGTTACTCATTCTAGAACTCACTGAGGATGGAGTATGTGAAACTCCAGTTACACCTGTATTGCATACACGTACCTATCCTGAAACTGAGCAGCTCCAGCCAAATTACATGAATTGTGGAGAAAGTGGCCTACAGTAATGGAAATATGCAGGGTGAATGCTGAATTTCCACAAAGTAAATGTCAAGTATACTTTCCGAAGTGACATAATCCAGAATTATACAAAGCACAAATTTGCATTTACATACTGTTTTCGCCCTGAATGTCACCATCTCTGGTGATAACAGAGAGGGTATAAGCTAAAACTCTAGACTTTCTTGCCTCATCCTTCCATGTATGTAGTTTGAAACATCTTTCCTCTTTAATAGAGGGTAACAAAAGTGGGCTTGGGTTGGACAGGAAGATGAGTACAGACCTGTAGTTTCTACCAGTTCTTTTATTACCTTGAGTCTTTTATTATCTTTCATTTCCAGGCTATCTGAAGAATATCTTGAAACATGAAGTAAATCAATAACCACCTCATCATCCATGCATCCTTTCTTGTATAGTCTGTCTTTGTTGGACTGTAGCCCAGTTTGTCAGCATTGGCCATTAAAAAGAACAGTGTGCCCAGCACTAATTGGACTTTCCATCACAACATTTAATCCAGTCTAACAGGAATGGGATTTCTTAATGTGTCTTTTGAGACTACAAGAACCTTGAACTTCTAAGGAAGCTCCTTTGTCACAGTTTCTATAGTTCCAAGTTAAAGAATAAAATGGTGACATACTGAAATTCCCTTGAATAATTATACCTGCCCCCAGGTAAACACAACTTACAGCAAGGAAGGAGTTGCTTCAGTCATTAGTGCAGTAAGGGATCCCTGCAGGTGTCATAGAGGGAAGTGAACCACTCAGATAAGAATGAAAACCTGGTGCAGACTGACTTTGTCAACCTGGATCAGACTTCAGGGAGTTTAATGCCAAGTGGTTCATTGTCAGCATATTTTAAATATAGTACAATCTGGGGAAAGTTTTACATGCAACAGTCCAATTCCAGGTTCACAATGAAGCTTAAGGTGTGACTACATTGGGACTCCTTTACAAAGTACCATGTGACTTTGAAGGTGGGTTCTGTAGCTAAAGGGCCTGGAATCTAGTGTGGTCTCTGACAGCATAAAGGTCAGCCTGCCATAAAGTACCTGTGACATCTCTCCTGAGGATGGGTAATGGTCTAGGGAGGGAAGAGTCTGGGATAATCATTCTGGGGAACTAGGGTGACATCTATCCCTTTAGACACCAGGTCGTTAGCAACCTCCATTCTCAGCTTTCCGGGTGGAATGTAGGTATTTGATTTGTGTCTCCTCCTTTGAGGAGACACACCTGTGTGATTAACATTCCTGGTTCTCTTAGTGCTTCTCTGTGAGCACAAGGACTTCTGTGCCTCCAACAGCACAGGTCACCAGCCACTCTCACAGCTTACTGCAGCTGGGCTGTGCAGAGAAGGGAGGGCTTTCAGCATTTTAGGATCCCTGTATGATAAAGCTAACTTCGTACATTCCTTTTTAGTTTCAAGATGATGATGATGATGATGATGATGATTACAGAATCTGGACTCACATTGTGATTAGTGTTTGGCAGGCTTTTAAACATGCCTCGCTACGTTAAAAATGGTCTTGAAATTGATGAGGTGGTTTATAGTGTCAGGGCTGATGTAGTTTGGACATGGGACGCTCCTCAAAGGCCCATTGGGATTAAGTCCTGGTCCTCAGCTCATACTGTTGGCAGGTGGCAGCAACTCCATGAGGAGCCAGAAAAGAAATGGGGTTACTGAGGGCATACTCTGGAAAAGTTAGATGCTGGTTCCTCTCCTGCTTTCTAGCTTCTGTGAGGTGAGCATCCTGTATCACTAAGCTCTTGGCCACTTCCATCATGTACCACTCCACCACAGTACAAAGGCAGTGGAGTCCCAGTGACCATGACCTAAAACATCCGATAAAATACTGAGCCAAAATCTTTCCTCCTTGCAAGTTGATTTATCTTAGGATTCATGTCATAATAATGGAAAGCTGAGGTGCTCAGATCCTCAGACATTTGGGGAAACACTCTAGATGGGTCGGGTATTTTTAGGTAAGATTAGCCCTTGAATTGGTAGATTGTAATCTTTGTTGCACAGTTTCTAAGTCCCTGATAATTCTTAGACGCAGGGGATGGATGTGTGGTAACAATGTTATCCAGGACAGTAATTGTTTGTCTTTTAAAAAATTAAGAATCAGAGATTACTAGAACTGTGTTAAAAGGGGGAATGAAAATAACAATCTTGGGTAAGTCCTATTACATATTACATATCACCATCACATTTTTTTTTTTTTTTGAGACAAGGACTCTCTGTGTAGCCCTGGCTGTCCTGGAACTCCCTCTGTAGTCTATGCTGATCTCGAACTCACAGAGAACTGCTTTCCCGTGCCTCCCAAATGCTGGGATTAAAGGTGTGCCACAACCGCCCGGCCTCACCATTACTTCTCTACTCCTGATCCTTCCCAGCTTCTTTTCTCATGTGGCTAAAGTATATACCTGTAGGACTATGTATATGGATTTTCTGTCCCACCTGGTCTCTGAAGCTGTTTAGTCCCAAATAAACACACAGAAGCTTATACTAACTATAAACTGTTTGGCTGAGGGCTCAGGCTTCTTATTGGCTAACTCTCTCTTAATTATTAACCCATTTCTATTAATCTATATATCTTCATGTGGTCTTGGCTTGCCAGAGAATGCTTGGGGGCTCTATATTCCTAGGAGCTACGTGGTGTCTCCTTGACTCCGCCTACTACCTTTCTCTGTTCCTCTTTGGATTTCCACCTGGCTAAATCCTGCCTGTCCATTGGCCGAAAAAGCTTTATTCATCAACCAATAAGAGAAACATATATTCACAGCATACAAATGGACATCCCCCATCAGGACTGTTTCTAATTTTACAAGAATAGGATCAAATGCACAAGTCTTTTCTAACCTGTTTCCTTGTACCCTACATTATTAGGTCCCATTTTTGTGCCTGGGCTGACACCTTATACATTAACAGTAATTGTGCTGACTTTTCCCCTGTTTTTAGGTTGGCAGCCTCGATGGTTCCTTCTTTGTGGGGGAATACTGTCCTATTACGATTCTCCTGAAGATGCCTGGAAAGGTTGTAAAGGGAGCATCCAGATGGCAGTCTGTGAGATTCAAGGTGAGTGACAAGCGACTTGAAAATTTTATTTTTCTTTGTACCTCCCTAAAAGAATAAAAAAGCACTGGCCCCTTCATGCCTTTCTCTGCTGTTCCTGCAGTACACACAGGGGTATGAGATACAGTGTTCTTGCAATAGAGCCTTGGGAAGAAATCTAAAACTGCAGCCAGCTTTCTCAGGCTGGCCTAAGGGTCAGAATAATGAGAGCAATGTCTTCACACTCAGACAGTACCCATTCCTTCCCTGCTTACCTGAGACCAGAGATTGTTTGCAAGGCTTTGGTGATTTTACTGTAATAACAAATGCTTTTGTGTTTAAATCAGGATAGATATTCATACCCATCTGCCCACTCTCACCTCCCAATCAAAATAAGCAAATGCCTACTGGGCCAACAAATAGTCTTTACCTCTTAGCTTTAGAATTTTGGACAGTGAGATGTGTGGCTGAGAGGAAAACTAATCAGTGGGAATTTGGGGAAGGTGAAGGTGAAAGTATTTTGCTAGTTTCTCCTCTGGAAGGGTTCTAAGACCTTTGGTCTGACTGCTCAAAGGAAGTAGAAAGGGGGAAATGTGTTCTAATTATTTCCCAATAACTCCAAGAAGATAAAGATTATACCCTTACTTGTTAGCAGGCATATTAATCTGTTTTCTGTTGTCATAATAAAATACTCCAGTCTGTGTAATGTAAAAGGAAATTTATTTTATTTATCTAATACTACTAGAATATGAAAGTCTAGAATAGAAGAGTGCTAACTCTGTTAGGGCACACTGGGTAAGTCACACTATGGTAGATGGCATCATGATGATACATTGCAGGCAAGGCAGGTATCACACAGAAAGCCAGAGAAACTAGGGAGGAGCCTTTGTTCCCGGATAATGACCCCCCTCAAGTACTGATCAGAACCCTGTGAGAATTGTGCAATTACCTCCCAAGTGCTGGGATTAAAGGTATATGCCATTATACCCTGCAAGGTTTCCTTCTTGATCAGCAAAGCTGTTTAGGACAGATAAATGGACAGAACTTAGTGTCACTAGAAGAGTTGGTGAGGTCTGACCCCTCTCTCTGAAGAAGCTTTCAGGAGACCGAAATGAGATGACTCAGTGATTAAAAGCACTTGCTGCCCAATAATAGGAACTGGCATTTCATCCCACCCAGGTAGTAAGCACAATCCTGTAACCCCAGATCTGAGGAGGTCAGAGACAGGAGGATCTCTGGGGTTTGCTGGCTTCTGTTTAACTATGAGAACACACACTTAGGGAGAGTCTCTGCCTTAAAGGAATAGTTGGAGAGTGATAGAGGAGAATAGCTGTCCTCTTCTGGCCTTGGCATATACACAGACATAAGCAACACCCCCCCACACACACACACGTAAATAAACACAGATAAGTAAATAATAAATAGTAACAAAACAGGTAGTTGGAGTGGAGCTTTCCAGACAGTTCTTACCTAGTCTGACCCCCTCCTTCCTTGCTCCTAGTTCATTCTGTGGATAACACTCGCATGGACCTGATAATCCCTGGGGAACAGTATTTCTACTTAAAAGCCAGAAGTGTGGCAGAGAGACAGCGATGGCTGGTGGCCCTAGGGTCTGCTAAGGCCTGCCTGACAGATAGTAGGACCCAGAAGGAAAAAGGCAAGTACAGATGGTCCTCTTGTCTGAGAACCTTGGAAATTACCCAGAAGCATCTCTGGGTTTCCTCACCCAGCATTTTGTATTGTTGAAATGCTATGTTTCTAAGCAGAACTTATGTCAGGGTCCTTACCTAGTTCCAATTCTGCTCTCTTAGCATGCTAGAAAACATGAAGACTTTGGAGCCAGACATACCTGGCTTGAATGGACATATCAGTACTTCACAGCTGCCATAGGTCACTTAATTTTTCTGAGTTTCATTCACCTCATCTTTGAAAAGGTGATGATTTCTGCCTTGGAAGGATGGCTGTGAGGCCTCGTGATGACATGATGGTATCACCAAATTTGGTGAAGAATAAGTGATTCAGAGAAGCCTAGGATCAGCATGTTCTCTGCAGTGTATACCTGCTTTCCACTGTCTCCCCTGCTGTGGGTGGATACTTAATTTCCACATTGCTGCTGCTTAATGCTGGTTGATAGCACTTGGTCTGAACACAATGGCAGACCTTCTTTGCACAGGCCAAGGGTGTCAAGGCTTGCTACTGTCAGAGCTCTACAAGCCTGTGTGTACACTTGAAGAGATTGGCTGTGCTGAGGGAACCTTTCATGTGACAGATGAAAGTTCCTAACTCTTAAGTAGACCCAATAAAGTGCCTCTTTGTTGGTTGTTTTGGTGCTAAATCAGGAACAAATTCTCAAAGCAGGTGATAATGTGTAACACTTCCATGAAAAAGAAACAACAGTGGCAGCAATTGTTTCTGATCCCTGGCCACCAAGATGGCTGCAGAGCCTTGCTGGTAACGGCTAGGGGCGTTAACCCTGATAGGCACATGTAGAGCCAGTCCTCAGACAGAACACTGTGGGCAGATCACTATGATCCCATATTACAGAGGCAGACTGAGTCCAGAGCACTGAGCTCTGACTCTGCTCCCAGTTCTCAGGAGGACTCCCCAGATTCTTCTCTTTCGGAACCTGTGATTGTTCAGTATGTTGTCTCAAGAAATAGCTGGGACACGCCCTCTTTCTACTTTTGCTCCTCCCATATCTTTACCTATCTCATGTGAAACACAAACATAATTCTTCATTTGAGGCATTAGTTACTTCCCTCACTTCTGTACAGCTACTAACTAGGAAATGGCTGTTCCTTCTGGTAACTACTTTACCTTTTCTTGTTGTTGTTAACTTAGAATTTGCAGAAAACACTGAAAACTTGAAAACCAAAATGTCTGAACTAAGGCTGTACTGTGATCTCCTTGTTCAGCAAGTAGATAAAACAAAAGAAGTGGCCACATCTGGTGTTGCTGACTCTGAGGTAAAGTACTGTTTTAGTGATGTCACTGACATGATAAAGAAAAGTAGTGTCAAATTGCCTGTGAGCATTTATTCTCGATAATTCCTGACTCTTGGAACTGGTGTTCTTTGAAGAAAGTGGCAGAATTGCACACAGAAATGCATGCATTGCAGTGTTTGGAAGCACACGCTTTCCCACCCTTGAAGGACTTTAGGATTAATCCATAAAAATCCCATTAGCTTCAGTATTAAGAAAAACAAAAAAAGACCATACTAAAGTGTGTTTCTTCCCAATTTGTACTGCTTTCTAAATAGCTAGTCTTACCTATCTAACTTAACATGTGCCTGCTAAGATGTCAGCATGCTGTCTGCCAGTGATGTCTGTTGCCCTTGGTGAGACTGACAGGACTGTAGTCTGTCACAGTAAATGTGCCCCATGCTTTCATAAGTGGAGACATGGCTTTGTTCTACCATCACTAGCAAGGATTGTGATTTTGTTTGTTTGTTTGTTTATAAATATGATCTCACTATTCATCCCAGGCTAGTTTTGAACTCCGAACCTTCCGACTGAAGATTCCTGAGTCCTGGGATTGTAGACATGTGCCACCATGCCCAGCTGCGGATTGGGACCTTTAACATTTGTTAATAAAGTTGCCGTTTACTTGTCTCAAAGCATCAGAAAGAGATCTGGTAGACTGTTGTGAAATGACTCACATTGACTAGGAGAAGGTCTCTGAGTGCTTCCACTCAGCTGTGATCCACAGTCTGGGGAATCCAGAGGCCATACATACGAATGCCAGTTCATTTTCTTAGGGATTACAATACCATGTCACTAATACTGTTTTGAAGTCTTTCTGATAAAACTGGTTTAACTCACTTTCCTTGGCTTCTCATGATAATTCATCAGCTGCCTTGTTGTGTGTGGGACACTGTGTTTGTGGGGGATGAAGGAACAGCAGAACCAAAAGCCATTTCATTCCTGTTCTTGCAGGATTTATATTCTAGAGCATGGACTACCAATCCATAGGCTCTGTATCTGGGGACATTTTAAATGTCAGGATTGAGGAAGTGCTGTTGTTATATGTGGTGTTTAGAAACCAGGAGTACTGCTAAACATCTACAATGAGCCAGAGAATTGTGTCTTACCTCTGCAAGCAGCAGACAATCAGAAAGACTATCTTAGTCATTAAACTATTGCTGTGAAGAGATACTATGATGAAGACAATGCTCAGAAAGTGTTCAGTTGGGGCTGATTCACAGTTTCAGAGGTTTAGCACATTATCATAGTGGGAACATGGCAGAATGCAGGTAGACATGGTGCTGCAGAAGTAGCTGTGAATTCTACTTCTGATTCTACAGGTAGCAGGAAGGGAGACACACAAGGCCTGGATTGGACTTTTGAAACTTCAAAGCCCACCCCCAATGACACCCTTCCTCCAGCAAGGCTATACCTACACCAACAAGGCCACATTTCCTAATCCTTCTCAAGTAGTACCACTCCCTGAGGACTAAGCATTCAAACATACGAACCTATGGGGTCATTCCTGTTCATACCACCACACAGACATGTAAATAACTAAATAACCCAAAGTCTTGGTGGTGTCAGGGTACCAGCCTGATCTAGAGAGAAGGAAAATTGTGAACCCAGCAGTCTGTAATTGAAGAAAGGGTTCACAGTGAGAACCTTGGGGACTTCATAACACATACGGATTACAACCAACAACATCACCTGGGACCTTTATTAAAAATCTATGCCATCTCCTCAATCTCTAGTCAACAGTGTGGCTCTTGAAGTTTCATGAACACCTTACTCATATCAATATCCAGATGCAAAACACCCAGACAAGTAAACTACCTTAGAAGAAAAAAGAAAACACCTATTAGGTGTTTAATTCAATTCTAGTTTGCTCCACACTGAGAGCAAACAATGCACAGTGCCTGCACCAATGCCCCACACCTGGCCCAGTGCTAGCTTACAGTGCAAGTCCAAGAGAGGTTGCCATTGGCTGCACAGTGAGCAAATGAAGGGTCAGACAGCAAGGGTATCTATGGTAACACATAACTTGGGCTAGTTCATTTCTGTTGTTTATCACTGATGTGCATATTTAGCCAGCAACATCCTGGTTGGGTACATTACTATTGTTTTGTAATAGAAACCTCTCAAGAGACAACACAATTGAGTTTTTCATCTGTAGCAAGACAAAAGACTCTTCTTCTGGTTGTTATGTAGGAGGGAATCGATGTGGGAACTCTGCTGAAATCCACCTGCAACACTTTCCTGAAGACCTTGGAGGAATGCATGCAGATCGCAAACGCAGCCTTCACCTCTGAGCTGCTCTACCATACACCCCCAGGATCCCCTCAGCTAGCGGTGCTTAAGTCCAGCAAGGTAAAAACCCACCCAGCTTAGTTTTTCTCCAGAAGAATTGTGGGACATAAAAAGTTTAAGGACACATCCTTTCATGACTGATACTGTTTGAAGCAGTTTGCTTTATTTACACTTTTGTATCTGCCCTTGGTCCCCATGTCTAGTCCGTTATTTTTAGCAGCTTGACTCCCCATACAGTTCTCTACTGTAACACCTTCTCTGTAATCCCAAAGAGTCTTCCCTAGAATATTGTTATCCTTACTAGTCATGGTCAGTCTAGCCCTTCCATTAGCCAACAGTAATGAAGTGTAAATTGGATTTTATCTAAACGTGCGGTCATTCATTCATGGACTATAAGCTAAGACTAAAACTTTGTAGACCTGTCCTTAATCACCTGATTTCCCCCCAGGCAGTGCCTTACTTGATTGTGCTGTTGCTTATGCCCTTTTCCAGTGCTGGGAATACTCTCTCAGCTTCTCTCCGAGGTCAACCCCTCCTCACCTTCCCTTAATCTTCCCTCAGTCCCTACATTGGGCTAAGAGGATTTCCTCTCATTCACTCCCCTCTTTCCCTAACTTCTCGTGAAGCTGGCTTAAGGGCAGGAATGTCCATATTGCCTACCCTCTTGCCTCTGGTGTTGGATATAATATTTCACCATAATTTGCTATCTATTAATGCTGAATAAGGCTAATAAATTACAACAAAAGCTAGTCATTAGGAATTTGGCTATGATAATGAGAGTTCTCAAAACCCCAGCTTCCTTTCCTAAGATATTTGGATGCTCTTCATGGCCTAGAATTCTTTACTTGAGGAGGACAATATATATTACTGCTATGTTGTCCACTTTCCTATGTGATAATATTCTAAATAACACTGTTGCAATTTAACATATGAACTTTCATTTCTTTTTTTTAAAGATGAAACATCCTATCATACCAATTCATAATTCATTGGAAAGGTATAGTAACTCTTGTTTTTCTTCCTTCTTAAAGTTAAAAACCTATACACCTTGTTCCTTACTTTTAAAGAAGCAGTGGTGTAGTGTGGTGATTTGAGATGGTACTAGAAGCAAACCACCGGACTTCCCTCTGTGTGAAGCTAGACTACAAGTGGGTTTGGCAGAATTGGGCAGATGTAGCCATTTCCCTAGGAAATCAAGTCTTGCCATCACATCTACTAAAGTCTGTCTAGAGTTGCTGAAAGCTAGAACTTATCTTGTAGAGGAACTAAATGTTGGCTGCAGTGTGCTTTTTCCCCAGGAAAACTAATGCTGCTTCTGTTTTAGTTAGAAATGAGAATGTTAAAAAGCTCCATAAGTTGAAGATAACTCGCTAGCAAAATCTAAACTAGTACCAGACCTCTAAACAATTCTTTGGTTTAAAAAAAAAAAATGTATACACGGGTGCAAGTTTGTGTAGCTCAGTGGTGCAGTGCTTACCTAGCATATGTGTGGCCTTGAGTCTGATCTGCAGTACCACCAAGAAAGGAAAAGCTCCCATTACACAGTTGCCAGGGTCTTTGCTCATAAAAAGAATAAAGTTGTGTAGGTACTCCCATGAATTGACATAGTACACATTATCTTTTTAAATTTTTAATATCCCTTTATGCTGTTGATATATGGGGTGTGTGAGTGGGTGTGTGTGTGTGTGTGTGTGTGAGAGAGAGAGAGAGAGGGGGGGGCGCACATGTATGTATGTGTAGATTCCTTATTAAAAGATTGTCTTCAGTTTGGTCATTGCTAACTTTTTCCTTTTCAGACATTTTACTAGAAACATTTTTGTAGATTTCTATCTCCTTTGAGACTTTGGTTCTATCTGTGACCACAGTTTGAATTGTGGGTTTGTGCATGAATTTGAAATATTTTTTTTCCTTTATTAGAATCATGGAGCTTGGATGCTGCCCTGTTAACTGCTTTATTTAACTGGGTATAAGATATTGCATTCCTTTAACAGAATCAGCTGGTTCTTTAAGTGTTAAACAGCTTTTTCTGCTGTCCTGTGTGTACTCAGTTCCTTAGATGCACTGTGATCCTCCTGCTGACAGGAGAACTCCCTGCTGGCCACAGCTGGCTCTTCAGACAGTTAACTGCTAAGCAAATATGTTTAAGTAGCCAGTATGATGAGGAAAAGTCTCCTGGGGAGAAGTTGAAGAAAGTCAACTAAGTGTTAAATGTGGAACTCGAGAAAGCTTATTGCACACTAAAGAGCTGCCCTGAGCATTTCCTGATGCTGGTGGAAAGCAAACAGATTAAGTCACATAGTACAGCAAAAGCCATTAAGGCTCCTTTGTTTTTTTAAAAGAGGGTCTTAATCTATAGCCCAGGGTTAGATGATGTCACCAGGACACATGGTACAGGAAATGACTTTAAGGCTCCTTTATTTATTTATTTATTTATTTATTTATTTATTTATTTATTTATTTATTTATTTGGAAAGGTCTTAATCTATAGCCCAGGTTAGGGTAGGATGATGGCAATCCTTTTGCCTCAGCCTTCTAAGTGTGAGGATTAGAGGCATGAGCCACCACACCCAGCTTTAGTGATTTGGGTTCTGTACTTGTCTTGGTGTCTGCAGGAGACTGAGAGGTTGGCCTTAGTTTAAGAAATCTGTTTTTATCAGGGTTTGGTGATTGTGGATCTTCCCATCCCTTAGAGTAATATCTGAGCAACCTTTGGCAAATCACAACACTTTCTTTTAAACCATTTGTTTTAGGCAGATGGAGTTGAACAGTTGTGAAAATGGATCTTTAAATATGGAAGTAAATGGTGATGAAGAAATCTTAGTGAAAACCAAGAGTTCCTTGTATTTGAAATCCACAGAAGTAGATTGCAGCATGTCAAGTGAGGAAAACACAGATGATAATGGGACAGGTAATGTCAAAAGAAAGTTTGGTATGCTGTATTGAACAACAGACTTAGGGTCTTCCTAACACTCAGGAGGGCACAGATACAGATTAGCCTCCAAGCCAGTGCTGCAGGTGGCGCAACTGTACAGCATTCTGTTGCCTCATCCAACACTATGTTTAGAGGAAATACAGAGTTCTCGGTGCTGATGCTCATGGTTGTGTTTAGGTGGGTGTAAGTGGGTCCCTGACTCTCCCACAATATCTTAGAGTCTTTTAAACCCAGACTGTAATGTCAGACTTGGTGTGTAACATTAGAGCAGCTAAGTATTTCAATCTCCTGGTTTCTAGTAGGGCCTGAGGATGTCACAGTTTACCAACCACCAAATTCCTGTGTGTTAATCAAGCCAAATTCCAGGTAATACCTGTGTAGTTGGGAATAATGTCCTTCTAAATTTACTAATTGCACTGGCACTAATCACAAAGCCCTGTCTTCATATCGGCCAGATTAACTATACTAGGACTTGTAGTTGTGTACTAAGTGCATACTAAATGATTTTAAGTCTGAGTACTTAACTCAAATAAGTTAATTTCCTCTCTAGCTGTCTTAAAATAAAAGAATCTGTAATTTTTCTAGCCCAAATCAATTTTTTATTGTTAAACCTAGAAGCTGTTAAATGTTGATCTAAGAAAAGTGACACATAACCCTTAAAAGTCTGATTTCTTGAGTAAAAATTTCCAGTAGGAATGAATCTGTGGCCACAAACCAGTGAGATGTAAAGATAAAACCCTTTGAACGGGGCTCTATCTAACATGACAGTCAGTTTTCATGTGTTGTGCTTACACTGTGTAAAGTCACCCAAATACTGATTAGCAAATGGTGTGACTGCTCTAAGGGAATAGCTTGTTCTCTACAGTGCTGTGATTTTGATCAGCCAATCAATGAATAACATTGTGCTAATGCCCTTTTCTATTTAAAAACACCTATGTCTAGATAAACATTGAACTCAGAGCAGGCATCAGGTATCAACTATAACTCATGTCTAAACGAAGCTTGTCCACACATATATTCTCTCCATGAAGGCGTATCTCAGACTCTTGTGTGTATGCACTTCAGACAGTATTACTGCCTGGAGCCTTCTTAAACTGCAAAATTAGTAACAAACGATACATTCATGCAAAAACCGTGGTAGTAAATAAAGGCATTTGTGGTACGAGAATGAAGCAAGACAAACACCTAAGCCCATGCATACTTGGTAACACGTTTTTACCATCCTGCACCGCCAGGGCTACCTAAGAAGCATCACAAGTCTTGATTTGGGATTCACAAGTAAATGTTAGCAAGTGGGCAAATCCACAATCAAAGAATATGTCCACTAAATTTAGAAACCACTAAATGCCTCTCATATTGTTATAACTGGTACCATGAGGTCCTTAAAATCATGTTTCAGGGGCCAGTAAGATTGCCCAGTGGGTAAAGGCACTTGCCATGAAGCCTCATGATCCCAGTTAGATTCCCTAGAATGTATATTGTGAAAAGAACCAACTCCTCCAAGTTGTCCTCTGACCACACATATATTCAAAATATGTAAATAAATATAAAGACAATGCATCATGTTTTTGAAGAACACTGAATCGTGAAGTAATTGTGATGTATGTGTGCATGCGTGTGTGTGTGTGTGTGTGTGTGTGTGTGTGTGTACATTTCCTTTTCCGTGTTTTCACTAATGATTATGTGTTAATTTTTATACTAAATATATAAGAACTTAGTGACAGGCATTGTTTACTTTGTACTCCAAGGTGAGATACTGAAGGAAGATGAAAAGGAAAACCTGGGGAATCATGACTGTGAGCTGGCACAACCTGGACCAGACTCAGTTTGCTCACCAGAATCTGTCTGGAAAGACAACGAAGAGGTTATCCCGACTTTCTTTAGTGCCATGAGTGCCAGGTATTCCAGGCCCTTTAAACTCCCTGGCAATAGGACCCTAGTTTCCTTTCTGAGAAATGAGTTGTGATGGTGTATTTGGATTATGAGGGTGGATTATCTCTGCAAAATGATGTTTGCAGACTGTTTTCATAATAGAAAAATAACATCTGGGGCTACTCATGAAATCAGACAGTGGTTTGCCTAAAAAGCTGTTTCTGTGACGTCTCTGAACTGCAGAGTGCTGATGTGGTTTTAATCTTCCGTTCTCCATGTCACCAAATTGTTCAGCTTTAGTGACATTGAACTTCTGGAAGACAGTGGCATTCCCACAGAAGCATTCTTGGCATCTTGTTATGCGGTGGTTCCAGTACTAGGTAAGATTGCTACAGTTGTGTTATATTTATTAGTTTCTAGACTGTTTTTCCAATCCCAGTTATTTCAAATGATGAATAATCTGAATGTGAATAGTACGGTGTCTCTTCTTTCCTTGCTCTTGACATCACATTCTCACACAGTGGAAACTGTGTGACTTAAACACTCTTGTATTTTCCCTTTCCATTTCTAATTGATGAAGTTATTGATCTTAGAGTGGCATAATGAAAATGGAAAATATACATACAAGCGAAGTGGAGGTAGTTCAGGCCTTCAAACCTCTCAGTACTACAGGGAAATATCTTACCAGTCAAAAGAATTTTTTTCAAAGATAAATTGTGACTTTCAAAGATAAATTTATATTTAGTATAAAGTAAATAAACTGTTAATGTGTTGAAATTTCCTCTGATCGATTACGAACACTTTCCCTTGTTTCTCATGTGTTTGAGTATGTGGAATATATACATACATGTGCGTTCATATGTGTGAGGGAGAGGGTGAATCTGTGTACATATGTATAGGGCCAGAGGGTGATGGTAGGTGTCTTCCTCCATCAGTCTCCACTTTATTTACAGTGATCCTCTGACTGATCCTCTGCCTCCCAAGTGCTGTGATTGTAGGTGATTTCCACACCTGCCCAGCTTTGACATGGGTCCTGGGGACCTGAACTCTGGTCTTCACACTTGTGCAGCAAGTGCTGCACACACTGAGCCATGTCCTAACCCTGATCATGTCTTTTTAATTGAGATATAACTAGAACTTAAGTGTTATGATTGTCAATTTTGATAAATGTGCCTACCCATATATTCTGTATTCTTGTCAATACATTTATCACCCTGGAACTTTCCCTGTGCCAGTTGGTTCACAATCCATTGTGAGGCCTGAGGCAGTCATTGTACTGATTCCTGTCACCATGTTTAGTTTTTCCTTGTCTATATGAGTGGAACCCTGTTGTCTACTCTAGCACCTGGCATTTCTCACTAAGCATGTTTGGAGATTCATCCTCGTGATGTACGTTCCTCACTCTCTCGGGTATCTAGGACAAGAATTTTCCAGTGTTACTGAACAGCTCGACTCTGTGATAGCCTGTAGGAACAGTGTTTCGTGCAGTGGTTCAGTTACACACCCACAGCTGCCTCGTGCTGGAATTCTAGATGCTTCATCTCTTCATGGTGGCTGACGTAGGAACTCAAGGGTTAGGCCTCCTTATTGTATTCAGTGGCCCTTGTTGTATCTTTGCATTTACCAGTGACTGTGGTGTTGAGTATCTTATCACATAAATATTGCCACTTCAGTATTTGTCTCTCCAAATCTAATCCATGTTCTAAAGTTGGTTATTTTTATTACTTAGGGTGCTATTACTGAAGATGTTCCTATTATTGAATTTTTAGAATTCTTTAAGATTCTTAGTAAAATCCTATTATAGATATGAATCAAAAATATTTCTCCTGAAGACTCTTTACTTGCCTGTTTATGTTTTGTGATATCTTTTTGTAAACCTACTTTTAGAAAAGTAAGTTTCATGTTTTTACAAAGTTGATTTTTGTGTTGATGTTTTCAGTTATCCTATGGTTACTTTCTATTAAAGGTCATAAAGATGCTGTCTTGTTTTTCTAGATTTTTAATTGTTACATTTATGGTGTGTATATAGGTGTGTGTGTTGTGTGTGTGTGCACATGTGTGCTAGTGTACATGTGTGCATTCACGTGAAGGCTAGAGGACAATCTTGGGTGGTCTTCCTTATGCCACCCACATTGTTTTTTGAGACGAAGTCTCTTACTGGCATGTAGTTAAACATGTAGGCTACGTTGGCTGGCCAAGGAGTCCCAAGGATCTCCCTGTGTTACCTCTCCAGTGTACCTATCAATACTGAGACTGTCAGCATGTGCCACCATGTTTCCCCCCCATCATTGGGTGCTGGGGATTGAAAGCAAGGACTGTCCAGCCATCTCCTCAGCCTGTAGTCCATTCTGGAATTCCTTTTTTGTGTGTTGTGACGTTGGGATTGAGGGTCATTTTTTTCTCAATCATAATCTACCTATTTAAGAGCATTTGCCAAGAAGAACAAGTACCAGTGTCCTCTTATGTTACTCTGGCCATCTGCTCCAGAACCTGTAGGCCTATAAAATGGGTCTCTCTCCTGCTCCCATGATTAGTCTATCTTTCCTTAGTGTCTTAATTATGTAAAGCTCAAAATTGGAGATTGTAAGTTTTCCAATTTTGTTTCTTTTCATGATTGTTTTGGTAATTCTAGGTCCTTTATAGGTCGGTATAATTTTAGTTTTAAATTACCTATTAAAAGGGCCTCTGGGATTTTATTAAAACTGCATTGAATTTGTAAGTCAATCTGGGAAAAATTAATGTCTTACCAATATTATGTATTCTAGCCCATGAGTATGATATATTTAATGCATGTATTTTTATATACATAGGTATATAAAAATATATAAATGGATATATATTTACATATTTTAGTTGTGTTTATTTTCTCTAAACAATGCTTTATATAACTTTGTGTTTTATTAGGAATAAACTGGCGTTTTATGGGTTTGATGCTATTTGCATATGTAGTATTAATACATGTGGTGACATTGATTGTTGTATGCTGGTAGTTGTTTTTATAGCCATGAAATCAGATAATTTTATAAAATGCTTTTTCTGCAGCTATTGAAATTTATGTTTTTCTGGTAATTACCTAGATAATGAGCTACATTTGTACACTCATTTGCATTCACTCTCTTTTGCTGTGTTTCTACCATCTTTGTGTTTTCTGTTTCGTCTTTTTTGTTCTCATTTCCTGGCTGTGAGCCAGTGAAACTATTGTTCTTCTATATGCTGTTTTATTTCATATTTGGGGTTGTTTTAGCTATATGTTTTTTCATTCTTTTTAAGATCAATTAGATAATTTTTAGATTTCATTATTTTTTTCTGCTGCTTTTATGTTATACCTTAAAAGTAAAGATTATGTTTAGTAAACATAAGTAATCAAAATTAGGAATTAGATGTAACAAAATTAAATTTAGTAGTAGAGTCAAACCACATGTAATTTTAAGTTTATAATAAGATACATTAAAATAGTAAAATCAAAATCAATGTATTTTATGAAACAGCATATCTAAAATGTCGTATTAACATGTAGCTGTTATAGATTGCCATTAATGAGGTGTTTTTCATTCTTTGCTGCTAAGTCTTTAAAATCTGATAGTGTATTTTACGCTTTCAATTCGTTTCAGTTTGAACTTTACAACATTGCAAGTGCTAAGCCAACCTAAAGGATTTCAAATGGGTGCTCTAAGTTTATGAGGCATTTTCATCAGATGTGCCACATAGGACCCCATTACTGTGACTCACCTCAGAGCAGCATGAGAGACAAGCTGGTGACCAAGTCCAGTTATAAACCTATGTTTAGAAAATAACTTAGAAGTCAGAGTAAAGTTGGGGGAAAGACCTTCTAAATGTGTTATTACTATATAAATATTTTCTAATAAGTGTTTCCTGTATTTAAAAGCAATCCTTTTTCAAAAATATTTCTGATCCTTTCTTTCAGACAAACTTGGTCCTACAGTGTTTGCACCTGTGAAAATGGATCTTGTTGGAAACATCAAGGTGAATATACTGGCTTGTCCTTGTAGAGACTTGTCTATAAAGGAATGATTTTCACTCTTTTTGTGTTTGACAAGAGTAAATAAAAAAGGGAAAAAATCATTCACACTGGGAACTTTCAGTAGCAGAAAGGCTGAGGTAGCCTTGATATGTGAGCGAGGCCAGCCTTTGTTAGTCTGGGAGAGTCCTCTTGGCAGCAGTGGTTGTGTGCATCTTGGAGTTCAACAATAACAAGGAACATTTCTCCAATGATAGGTCGCTGGCAATAGCTACTCAAAGGCCAACTTCCTGGTGCTTCTGTGGAGCCATCAACAGGAAGTCTGAGCCTCCTTCCCAAAAAATGAGAGTTGTTTATGTTACACCCAACATCTATGGTTTAAATAGCTTTTTAAGACAGGCATGGTGGTACGTGGGTGGCAGACACAGGAGGATCTCTGAGTTCAAAGCCAGCCTGGTCTACAGAGCGAGTTCCAGGACAACCAGGCCTATGTAGAGAGATCCTGTCTCAAAAATAAAATAAAACACAGTCCCCACTACTAAGTATGATGCGTTGAGGAAGTTCTGTGGATGCCTTTCCCTGCGTGTTTGGGGAGGTGGTAAGGTACATGGAGTCTCTGGTACAAATGACTATTAGAGGTGAGCAAAGGTACCCCCAAGAACATTGCTTAAAACCTGGCGCTCTTGGCCTAAGTTAGAGCCTCATAGAATTTTTGGAATGTTTAAAATACTTACCCTAAAAACATAAGGGTTGACTGATCATGGATGCCAATGGGGAGGCCCCTGCACTCCTGGGATTTTTA